TGGCCGAAACGTCGTGAGAATTGTTTTATTATGTTTTATTTTTATTATTTTATTACTTCCCTTCTACGTGACTTTACCGAAAGAACCAAGAAGATGAATCCCTGCAGTCACGAAAGCTTTAAATCGAAAAATAAAAAGACAAATAGTTCACTGCTTTAGCCCACCATTCTGGCGAATTGCCCGATGATGCTGGATGCAATTACCAGCGAAACGTCGTACTACTCAAATTGTAAATGTTGTGGTTTCACGCTTCAACACACCGGTGGGCTAAAGCAGTGAACTAATTGTCTTTTGTCAACGTGACACTTTTTTACTGATTGGCTGTGTCGGGTGGTGGAGGGTTACGACACATTTATACATAACGCGATCTAAACCCAAACACGTTGATTATGAATAATATTGGTCGCGAAAGCCTACTACGTGTTAAACTGGCTGCTATATCTTGCCGACTTTTCTTTCGTCAGCTGTGGCTACCCCAGCTTTTGAAGAACGCACGCTCGTGAAGTCGGCAGACGAGACGCCCATCACCGTTGGTGACCTTCGGTGCCAGCAGCCAGAGCCACAGCGTCACTCGTGTTGACCGCAGCTCGGGATGGGACATCCAAAGTAAAAAAAAACAACACATCGATGTATCGAACTCGCGATATTTTCAATCGGAAACAACAATGTACACGGTGGTCCAGATGTATCGTCACCCCCATTCAATGCTCTAAAACTTAATATTCTTTTGGATACCGATGCATGTGAAAACAAAAACGAATACGCAAAAGGGGGGGGGGAAGTTCGGGGTCAAATAATTGGGGGGGGGTCACAAGACAACTGGACCAACCTGTGCACTAAAACATCGCTACAAAAATACTGAAGTACTATATATGTTGACGTTCTATGGGGTTTTGTTTTCAAAACACTACAATAATTGTATGCAGGAGAGCCACACTCAAGTCGCAGGACTCTATATTTTCCAGGAAGGTCCTGCATCGTGTTTTTTTTCGTCCAGGATCTTATCTGGCTCCAGCTCTCTGGCGTGCGATGTGAAGGCAGGCGTCAATTGGCAGTGGCGGTTTTTAGGGCGACCGCGATTGTAGATTCGGGGGCGGGGGCGAGGCGAGACCTCGCAGACCTTGGGCCGCTGTTGGGGGGAAACCACGGAGCCCCCACGCATTGCAGGGGACCCGCCCGAGTGGGCCCAGGCCAGGGAGTCGCCGCATTCGCCACGGGAGGCACTGAACTCGAGCAGAGCAGGGTTGGTGTTTGGTTGAAGGACGAGGAATGTGGTGGTGGTCGTGGTGTTAGAGGTCAGGCTAAGGCTGGGGTTAGTGTTACGACTACGGTTAGTGGCTGTAGGAGTATTGCCAGAGCTGGGGTTGCCAACTTTAACGTAAAAAAAGACGCACACCAAAAAAGTAATTCATTGAACATGCTTACCCAATGAGGTTACACTTATTAGAAGCACGATACATTGGAATGGGTGTTCATGGTTAAATAAAAGGCATTAAGAAATAATTACTCGTTGGGCTTTCACAACGCTAAAGTACCACATTATGCATAATTGTCAATGAATTCTCACACAGCAAAAGTAATTAATTACTCAAATGATGCTCAATTGCCTTTGACGTGGTTAAATAAGTGCGTAAAGGTACGCTGCAGTGAATATCAATGTGCGTGACGATGACTCAAAATGGGAGTTCGCGTGGTTAAAGGATGTGAAATGTTAACTCTGAGCTCCCACGCAGCTAAAGCACATTCAGAACGCCTGGAATGCCTACCATTGAGTGCTCGCGTGTTGAAACATACATGTAGATAATAAGAAATTACAATTAATTTTTTACAATAGAGCCATTGTTGTCAAGCCACTGGAACAAACGGTTTGGTGATGCTGCGTTAATAATAATACTCACTTTAGTTAAATATTTAAAACATAATTTTGTAATATACTCTACATCATGTGATATGTTGCTATTTTCTTTTATTATTTGTATTTCTATTTTTCTTGCTTACCTGTTGTGAATGGTATGTTTGCCAGGGAACTCATGCTTTGTTGATGAAACCTAATACAAAAGCCTCTTACCTCACGAGGTGCTTACAAATAAACTGAACAGAACTGCGTTCGCAGTGGTGTACAAGTAAATGCAACAAGAAAAACACAAGCACACTCTTCAACAATAATTCCTTAAAATAAAAGCAAATATATAATTGACGTTTTGGGAAATGGCCCTTCTTCATGAGGTTATCGGGGGTTGCTTAACCATACTTTACCACACTGGTCACTGTGCATCCTGAAATGGTGGAGTGGCGACACAGTGGTTAGTACACTTTGCCATGAACCTGAACACCCAAGCTCGATTCCAATTGGACTTGCCCCAAAAGTATGTTAAGGCTATATGGGGGATCTTTGTTTGTTGCGTGTAGTGTGTAGTGTATCGGTCTACGATGTAGTGACATAGAATTAGCTATGTAGCAGCATAGCGCTGGCTGCTGGCGGGGAAGGGGATCTGCAGCTTACAGCAGCCCTGACAGCAACAGGCCACGTGATACACCAGAGGGGGATCTACGGGAAAGGTCACGGAAGGGACACACCAGGAACTCTCGGGCAGGTTCTAGAAAGGGGGCGTGGCCGGGGATGGAGCCAGGCCACGTGACAGTATAAGAGGGGCCCCGGGAGGGGACCTCGCGGCTGTCGTTTGGAGTGTGATCCCCGTCGTGCTGCCGGAGTCTTCACCGTTCTTCTCGTCGTCTCCGTCTTCATCATCTCGGCGTCGCCAGTCAGGCAGTCAACCCGCTGTCCTGACTGGGAACCGTAGTCAACTATAGACGGATTATTTGGAAGTGTTAACCCGTTGGTGCGTGTTAACAAACAGAGTGCCTCCAACTCTTAGTGTTTCCGATTAAGTCACTACATATGTGGAGAGCAGTGGTTATCACTGTAAATGGGCCTGCACATTGTACATCATTGATTATTCATCCTGTCGTGGGATTAATTACATCATATGACAGCACTACTCAGCAGGCAGCCGTCTCGTCCGGTTTCGCTTTGTGTCCTTTTTTTGGAATGCATCTACTGCATAAAGCGAGGGGAACCTTGCATAAAGTTGCCCTTTCTTTTGTTATCCTTCTTCCCGCACCTCTGATTACCACGGTTGGCTATGTATGGTGCGAAAGAAGTTCAACATACAACAAAAAATAACCACTACCATCAACCTATCTGATCATCATGAAGAGGAAGAATGATGATCCAATCTGACCCCCAGGATCAGGTTTAAAGATAAAGGTCAACGAGAAGCAGGAACTGCCCTTATCCACATGTCACCTTGGGATGGTTTAGGAAACTGGAAGGGTGGAAGTTACATCCCTTCTCTGTAAGTAGCTTGCGGATTCCTCCTCTGAGTTGGGAGGTAGCACACACCTTGACTCCATCAAAGGAATTTCCATACAATGCAGATATGGATAATATCAGGGCAATACAGTATATAATAACGGTTATTTTGGGATAAGTTGACCTGGAGATTTGTACCTATTATGCTAACGCAATAATCCACCGCAATCACTCAACCTTCCATAAAGAGGGCTTAACATCAGCACTTACTAAAACAAAAACATCCATGTACTCCGTCGCTAAACACTCTTTGCCGTCAAACGAGTGATGGGGCGGTTGGCGGAAGCGTGGAAGACTTCCCTCGGCAGAGCGGTGTTACCATGTGGAAGTCTCAATCTAAAGCAGTCTCACTGCATCATCATTAGCGGTGCAACTCTGTAATTACACATTTGACAACTTTCAGTCACACCCTGCTCAAGATTTTTTTTTGGCCATGATCATGTTGTCTCGTCTATGTCCTAGCAAAATGTGGTTAACCTGCACGAGCTAGACAATTAATACTGGCATGCCTGCGATTTATTTTGGGTTCATCCATGTTGAGTTACGAGGTGTTTACCGTTAGCAGACATCTGGATGATATTCTATGAGGAGGCTCCTCTCGCAGACAAGGCCAATGTGGGAAAAACAGGCTAGGGAGGAAAACATCTGATGTCATACAGGAGGACCGAGAGCTGAGGACCTAGAACGGACTGCTTCCAGGAATGTCATGATAAGCCTCTGTGCAGAAGGCTCAGGAATGACACACCTGTACTTGGCAGCTGGCAGCAGCTTCCTTCAAACAACATGAGGTGGGAGTCATTCTGATAATAATGGGCAAGCTTGGTCAGGGTGGCACAGAGGCACAGTAGGAGACATGGAAATCTCCCTCGTTTGTTTTATCATAACTGCTGGGTCGGTCCTGTGATCTTCAACGAGTGAGTACTCGTCTATGCATTAACGTGCCTACCCTAACCCACTTTCACACATTCACCGACTAAGTGGGAAACGGCTCATTATTTACGTTGAACTTCTTTCGCACCGTACGTAACCAACCAGTGCTCGTTTAAGGTGCGGGGGAAAGACAACACAAAACACAAAAAGCAGCTCTCAAGAAATGTGTTTTGTGTCCTAAAACCCCAAGCAAATGCGCGTGTGTAATTTACAGATGAAAATTGCAGCCATGCTGAAAGACAGCCTGCTTACTCTGGACCCACTTAAAATACATTTTCTGGAATAGTAATATAGCCTAAATATTTGATAATTTCACATGAACTTATAAAAAGGCAGCTGTGCAGAAATTTCTGGTCTCTGCGTGAGTTTTAGGGGCCAAATTGCGGTCTTGAAAAATCGAGCAAATTGTCATTATTTATTTAGTAATGTGTTGCTTTCACCATTGTCAAGAATGAGCCAAATTGCCAAAACAATGTTTCACCCATGTTTTAAGGAGGGTAATCTGGCCCTATGCCTGCAAAAGTTACTGAACTTAAATGTAAAAAAGAGGCATCTTTTTGGAACTTAGGTTCCACGTCGTGCATTTGCAGAGCCTTACCGAATAATATAGCAAAGCCATTATACCATTTGAAAAGCCCCCCAATTTAGCCATCTGTGAAATTAATTTGTTTATAATAACATGACAACAAAATTAAATGAAAAATTTGAGTTTATTTTATTTGTATCTCTCACTTCATTTTAAGTGGAAATTTATGTAATTACAATGCAGTATACAGTAAATTTAATATAATTTGAAAGTAACTCTTAAAATTGCATAGCTTTCTTTTGAAGTCGATTGAGATTCACTAATTGCCCAACTACACACAACCCAAAAATGCAATTACAGCACAAAGTAAAAACCATTCCGCTTAAAATGAAGCAAATGTCTACGACCACAGATTACACAGCAAAGTAGAGATGTGTACAGTCTCCAAACAGCATACCATAGAGTTATCATTGTCCAACAACACAAAAACACAGGTCCTTGAGCATGCAACGAGAAAAAAACTAAAACTCCTCTCTATTCACAGACAAGGAAGAGCCCCGTGCAAATCGCAGCTGTAATAAATTTGTATTTTTCTCCCCCAAAGAAGATGGAATTTCTTGTAAGAATTTTAGTTTTTTAAAGTAAAGCTGCAAAGCAATAGTAATCAGGTATATACAGTACTGTATACGTAACATTAATATTTTAAAATGAATAAGGGAACCAAAACGCACGAATAAATACGAGGTAAAACACAACCGTGTCAACTACCTCCGACAATGACCTACACGGAGCCCTTTTGTCTTTATTTTCAGCCAAAATAATGACACAATGCTTAAGTTATATTTTTTAAAACAAAATATAACGCAGCTAAAGCATTCACATATATACCGAACTGGGGACCAACTTGGTTAATTTCAGCTGGTGTTTTCCATATTCATATCGTATCTATATATGGGGCAGATGTTTAATGCGCAATGTGGTTTACTGTCTTCTCACCTCTTGAATATCGTCTCTGAACGCCAAGAAATCCAGTTTGTAGTTCAGAGGTTACATTATAGTGTGTCATGTACAACATGAAGCCTTGTTATTCAAGCAATGGTCATCAACATATAATACATTACTTTTTACATTGTTGTAAAAGGGAGAATTGTAGAATAACCTCGTTAACATCGCTACATTTGTTCTTCTCTCTGCTGCCATGCTCATTCTCTTGCGATCACACAATACCCCCAAGCAAAAAGTCGGTACAGAAGAAGTGTTTATTTTTTTTTGATGGACATAAAAGGATGCGGAAATTTCTGCAGTTCAATGGTGACTCAACGTTTATATCCTTGTGCCTCTTAAACAGTGAATCCATTTGCCATTTCACAAACGATGACTTGTTCAACTTGGTTCGCGCTATACGACCTGCAATGGAACAGAGAGCATGACAATGCATCAATCGACACTCCACTTCAATTATGATTGAGTTATTTCATCAGAGGAGGAAGTTATATTGTCAAGAGAAGCACGATTACGTGAACTATAATTCTGACCAGGGAAATAAAGCATTGAGACAACAGCACTGAGATTATCTGTTCAAAGAGATTCTGCCAGCCATGATTTAATTCATATTTTCACTTAATTTGGAACAAAAAATAAAAGTTTTCCAGTTCTGAGATTTACAAAGTTAAATGTTGATTCAGTTTGCATCTACATCAGCGTGTGAGGGAAGTGCACTCTCCTTCGTGTGGATAACAGGTTGTTAATAGGATGGAGCTCACACATACTTCTGTGATATCACCTTCTAACAAGACAACAAACATTTATAAAAAAGCACAATATCTTTGTGCATGCACGGACATCATCAGCAGTTCCTGAAAGAACTGCCTATGGCCGGAGACAAGTCTACACATAGGACGACCACTGTTGACTTTCTCACAAAGTGGCAACTATTTTATCGACCCCAGAGAGATGGCTGAGTGAACCACCAACGAGGATTTGAACGAGCATCTTCCAATTGCGAACTGCTCACGCTACCGCTGAGCCACCCGGCCACGTAAATAACAAATGGGACTGAACTTGACAATGGCCACTTTCATTTTAATTGTCGACTACAGTTTTCTCGCCTCCTCTCTCCAGAGACAAGCTAGAGGAGACAATTAATTACTCAACTTCCTGGCTTTGCAGAGCAAAGCAATTACCCACTGACCTTTAATCTGTTTCTCTCGGCTGGCACACATTAAACAAACACTGTCACCTGAGCAATAGTATCCGGCACTGAAGGGTCACTCACGGGGCAATATTTAAACGTCACGACTAATCGAAATTTAAATGTGGCCTGACGGGGAACCTTACAGCAACAATAGCACCGTACGCCCAACGCACTTTCCAGATTACGGGCCCAGTCGCACGTTGTGTGGAACGCTCTGCCGGACAATCTCCAGAGCAAAGACCACTGCCAGCGTGAGGTGAAGACGCATTTAATGTCCACGGCGGGACGAAAAGCCGCAGTGTATCAGAGGTGCATTTAGCACAAATTTGTATTTCTAACGAGATCTTGGGACGCACAAGCCTGGACCGGTGGCGGTACTCTCTCATCACTGACACACTATTAGGGGAGTCAAAACAATACATCGGGATATATTAAGCATCATTTCATTACGATCATATTTTAAAACGTTGCATAGCGAGGGAAGATAAGTAGAGTTCGGGAACTTGTGGAAATGTGAGGCCCCTCCTCACGTTATGCAGCCTACAGCAGGCCAAGGAAAGAATACATTCTGTCAAACCCAAATTACGATACCTTTTACTACAACATGCGCACGATGCAACACGGAGTAACCGAGAGAGACTGTAGCTAGCTTAACGCAATCCTGAGATCATTTTACGTGATCCAAGGGCACGCTAGTTATATTTTAAAATTAACTTATCTGTCACCTCATCCCATCCACCCTCATTACAGATAAGAGAAGAATTATTTCATTTAACTTTAATGTTTCAAATTATTACAATACATCGCTACATGGTCACATGAACAGCATATACGCACCCCAGAATATATTGAATCGGTGAGTTAAAAAAAATGATGAAGCTGAATAAATGAAGTGGTCAAGCTATATTATTTGCATTTGACTGCCATTCATGTACCGCTACTATTAACAATTCAATCCACATTGCACAATGAGCAGTTATCGGGTTTTCAAATTTGTGGCCCATAAAGTCACTGTGAGTTGGTCCACTCGAAATAATTAGGCCAAATATGGAACCGTGTCTTAAACAAAATGTGCAACAGTAATATTTAACTCACAACAGCACCAGATATAAACTATGAAAAACCATGATTGAGCCTGATACATTTAAGCACAAATTCTGCGATAAAACATGGAGCAAAAAGATAAATGTGTGCTCCCGCTACAATCACTACAACAGCCAGTTTGTAGACAAGCTTTGAATTAGAAATAAAAGCACTTAGCAAATGAAGGAGAACAATTTTGTCGATCTGGCAGCAACTTGTGAGTAAGCCGAGTTCTCAGGTCGAGCGATTTGATGGTCTCAACATCTTCATCACCAATGGCTGGACAAAAATAGCCATTGTACGAAATTTAGTTTCACACTTAAATGTGGATATATTCCTGCTCTAAGAATTGAAAACATCAGTTTGACCGTTATGCTACAATCGTACAGCAGAGTGTGTGGCAAAGTGTGACATATCCTGTATCAAGCAATAACAAAGCCGCTGGAAATATGTTTTGGTTGTAGTTGCGTGGAAAAAAAATCTTCCGCAGCCATTCAATGACACAAGGGGCACAATTGCTCTGTGAGATTTCCGTGTGGTGGGGTGGTGTCAATAGTCCAATTGAAATAGAGCGCGGGGGGGGGGGAAGGTGAGAAAATATTAATCCAACAAACTTCGCACGCGTGTCTTGTTCTTACGTCAATGCTGTCGTCAGGATTCTTGCGTTTCCTCTCCAGGGACTGGAATTTTTGATTCATCTCCTGGAACATCTCGCTGTGTCGCTGGCGTGTGTGCATGATCCTCTGTGCAGCAGCAGCAGCAGAAACAACAAGAACAACGGAGGATTACAAATATATACACAACGTAGAAATCGTTTATCTCACACAATTCGGGAAAACCACCGTCAAAATGGTTAATGTTTGGCTTACCTGAATGTCGATTTCAGAATATTTACTTTTTTGTCTCTAGAGAAGAAAAGACATAATATAAAAGACAAAATAAATTGGCACAAATGAGTTAATACTGTGATTAGTCAATGTCATATTATATCTTCCGTAGTTTCACAACTGCACATTGAAGTGCCGTTTAAATTATAATTAGCTTCAAGCTATTTCAAGTACTATGCATTTGAAAGGTTTTACAGCCCTATAATCAACCAAGAAATGTTTAGGGATACTGTATACGTGTTAAACAACTCAGTGCAGGTATGAAAGGTGCCAATTAAAATATTTTGGAAAAATTACATTTCAAAATAAATTTGCTAAACTGCCTCCCCTTCCCTAGGAACAAAAATGTGCAATGCTATATTAGAACAAAAAGACATATCAGCAACAGAAGGGAATTAAATTATTAGGAATTCCTGCACAATAAGCAGTTTTTTTGGTGTTAAAATAGCAATGTTTTCTTTTTCAATCTGTGCAATTAGTGAGCAGCAGAAGGCCCTTTGAGGTAAAGTCTGCCGCAAGCTAATGCTTCATGAGAGAAATGAATGTGCATTAGATATGTGGATGCAATGCATTTTTAAGTGACTATTATTTCCAGTTTGGACTGCATTATTTACAATGTTGATGCAGGTTAAATCTGGTCTGCAATGGCATTGGTGCAGTGGGTGTGTATTATTAAATATTAAAAAAACACACTGAATAAAATCTAAAACTAAATTCACATAGTTGCTGAGCACGGGCCCAAAGGCTCAAACCATTAAGCATCAAACAGCACTGTCAAAGGCCGCAACAGGTAAGCGTTAACACACGTTTCTTGAACTTGGCAACGTTATAAGAGCTTGGGAAAAGAGACAACGGGAGGGAATTCGAAAGACAATCAGTGCGACGTAAGAAGGAGCAGAACAAAAAGAGACGTGACCTGCAGTGTGGCGGCGGTTGAACATATTGTGCAGCATGAGACGACAGTCGGTCAGGTAGAGCGAGTCCTCAACATGGGCGTACGATTCGACGTGTAAGGTTCACGGAAAATTGGGAGGAAAGGAACTTGAGAATGTAAGCGATCACTCACATCTGGCGAGCGAGCGATGGATTCCGCCTCGACAGTCAGCATTTGCTGGTGGGTGGATCGATCCATGGGCGAGGTGGACGTGTGTTGTTGGCCAGCCTGCAAATGCTGCTGCATGAAAGTCGCGCTGCTGCTGCTGCACTGCGGATCTGCCGTGGGCATCTGGGACAGCTGCACCTCTCCCCCCGACGACACGTCCTTGTCCGTCGGATACCTGTGGATGTGACGCCAGATGCTGCGAGCGGAGCCGGTGCCTTCCCGGTGCCGCCTCTGCCTGCTCTTCTTGGAGGCAGCTGGGTACACAGCGGTCTCCTTGCCCGATATCACTGTGAGCGCGCTCTCAGGCAGGCTCGCCTGCTTTGAATGGTGCGACTTTTCTCGGTTTTTTTCAGCCCGGGACAGAGTTCCAGAAACTAGTAAACGCGCGCACACACACGCACGCACAAAAACAAAATTCCGCGATGTGACATTCGCCATGAAGAGATGGGCCGAACATTTCGTCTGCCTGTGAAATGTTTACATTCATCAAAACGATTTACCGTCACAGGTGAATAATGCTGCTATGGTGTCATTTTGATCACAACGGACTTCCAATCCAGAGGACGCTGGTTCGATCTCCTGGATCAGCAGCTGAAACAATGTTTCAGTTGTTCCGATATGATAGTGATTCAAATGTCTGCTTTATTGCCAATTAAATTGGCGAGTTGTTTTTATTCCCCCCTCCACCTCTATCAACTCAGCAATATAGATGGGTGCACACCTCAATGAGTCCGCAGGGCGCACGCTGTGGGGCAAAGTGTGGTAACTCCCAAACATCTTACAAGATATCTGGCTAGCAAGGAAGAGTAATAACTTATTCACCCAATATATCCCCACCGAGTCTGAAGACTCATTTTCAGGGGGATCCTGTATTATGATATTTGGCTGACACTAATGACATTGTAGATTTTATCGATGGGAGGAAACCAGAGAACCTGGATGAAATCCATGCACAACAGGCGAAGAACGAACAGACTCCACACACAGAGACATGATCCCTTGATGTGAGGCACAAGTGTTACCACTGTGCCACCCTGCCACATAAAGCTGCACATTTACTATTGATATAGCTTGAAACTCTTCTCAAGAACGTCCGTCTTTTGAGTTATTTCCTAGTTGCTTGACATTAAAGCCACGGGAACTTTATTTACCGATTGCTTTATATCCCCTTCCATTTTGACGAATGCACACAAAACACAAGCATACAACCACACACTGATATCGCGTTTAAATATATCGATGAATACAAATTAAATAAAGGTATGACAGCAATAATACAGCAGAAATCCAATAATTTAACGACCCAATAATCAGATTCGTTGGCGCTTCTCGGACCGCAAACAGCGACCCGGAGCAGTGGGCGGGGGCTCACGTAGAGCCGCAGGGGCGGCGCTGCAGGGAAACACGGTGGTAATATTTTTTTAAATTATATATTTTTGTATTTACACAGACTAGCTGTGCTTGATTTGTTCAGTCGAAGATAATTCAGCATTTTAATTTTACTTGGATAAAAAAAAATCCTTTGACATCGACCCATCTGCCAGATTTGAGTAATACAGTGAGGGGAAAAATATTTGATCCCCTGCTGATTTTGTACGTTTGCCCACTGACAAAGAAATTATCAGTCTATAATTGTAATGGTAGGTTTATTTGAACAGCGATAGACAGAATAACAACACAAAAAATCCAGAAAAACGCGTGTCAAAAATGTTAGAAATTGATTTGCATTATAATGAGGGAATCAAGTATTTGACCCTCTCTCAATCAGAAAGATTTCTGGCTCCCAGGTGTCTTTTATATAGGTAACGAGCTGAGATTAGGAGCACACTCTTAAAGGGAGTGCTCCTAATCTCAGCTTGTTACCTGTATAAAAGACACCTGTTCACAGAAGCAATCAATCAATCAATCAGATTCCAAACTCTCCACCATGGCCAAGACCAAAGAGCTCTCCAAGGATGTCAGGGACAAGATTGTAGACCTACACAAGGCTGGAATGGGCTACAAGACCATAGCCAAGCAGCTTGGTGAGAAGGTGACAACAGTTGGTGCGATTATTCGCAAATGGAAGAAACACAAAAGAACTGTCAATCTCCCTCGGCCTGGGGCTCCTCGTGGAGTTAAATGATCATGAGAACGGTGAGGAATCAGCCCAGAACTACACGGGAGGATATTGTCAATGATCTCAAGGCAGTTGGGACCATAGTCACCAAGAAAACAGTTGGTAACACACTACGCCGTGAAGGACTGAAATCCTGCAGCGCCCGCAAGGTCCCCCTGCTCAAGAAAGCACGTAAACATTCCCGTCTAAAGTTTGCCAATGAACATCTGAATGATTCAGCAGGACAACTGGGTGAAAGTGTTGTGGTCAGATGAGACCAAAATGGAGCTCTTTGGCATCAACTCAACTCGCCGTGTTTGGAGGAGGAATGCTGCCTATGACCCCAAGAACACCATCCCCACTGTCAAACATGGAGGTGGAAACATTATTCTTTGGGGGTGTTTTTCTGCTAAGGGGACAGGACAACTTCACCGCATCAAATGGACGATGGACGGGGCCATGTACCGTCAAATCTTGTGTGAGAACCTCCTTCCTTCAGCCAGGGCATTGAAAATGGGTCGTGGATGGGTATTCCAGCATGACAATGACCCAAAACACACGGACAAGGCAACAAAGGAGTGGCTCAAGAAGAAGCACATTAAGGTCCTGGAGTGGCCTAGCCAGTCTCCAGACCTTAATCCCATAGAAAATCTGTGGAGGGAGCTGAAGGTTCGAGTTGCCAAACGTCAGCCTCGAAACCTTCATGACTTGGAGAAGATCTGCAAAGAGGAGTGGGACAAAATCCCTCCTGAGATGTGTTCAAACCTGGTGGCCAACTAATAGAAACGTCTGACCTCTGTGATTGCCAACAAGGGTTTTGCCACCAAGTACTAAGTCATGTTTTGCAGAGGGGTCAAATACTTATTTCCCTCATTAAAATGCAAATCATTTTATAATATTTTGACATGCGTTTTTCTGGATTTTGTTGTTGTTATTCTGTCTCTCACTGTTCAAATAAACCTACCATTAAAATTATAGACTGATCATTTCTTTGTCAGTGGGAAAACGTACAAAATCAGCAGGGGATCAAATACTTTTTTCCCTCAGTGTATGTTGATTATTGTAAAATAGAATCGCTTCGTCAAGAGTTACACTTCCCCTGTAATCAGTAACATTTTCGCAGATTAATCCCTTTCAATGCCGCGTTGGCGCAATTAATTTTACATAGCATATGGTCCCCCCCTTATCGCCGGAGATTATTGTATTTCTGCTGTATAAGCCAACCAAATTGCGGCCATAATGTCACAGGTAGACTTAACAAAATAACTTCATTTTGTAGGGAGTTTGCAAAATTGTTTTGAATATCATTAAATACCATGTGAAGACTAATCTCTCCAGCATCCACAAACCAGCACTGTCACAAAGTTACCATACACCTCTTTTTCGTTTGAGAGTTCGACATTAATTTGAATACTCATCTCAATCTGCATTTAATGGGCACATTAATCTTTGTAAATCACACTTAAAATGACAATACCGTAATGCAAACCGGCATCCCAATAAGAGCACTGTTAATTGTACAGCAGATAATAATTACGATGGGTTTTTGTCGTTATTACTGGGAAATGTAATCGGACCTTCAAAAAAATAGACAATGAGATGGAGTAACCAAAGTCATCTAATGTTAGGAAAAAAGAAGATAAATGCCGCATCCCACAGAACGATTATTGAACACAATGTGGATGAGAGGGAAGTCAATCTTGTAGAATGAGTCCTTGGGAATGGCAGAGGAATGACAGCGTCCACAAGGACACTGACATTGCCTGTGGTGCGGTAATAAAAGAGGGACACGGAAGAGCCCTGAACTCTGGTGAGAGAGTGACTGCAGTGAAGCAGTTGGGTGTGGGAGAATCGATAGGCTGAACCGTTTCACTTTCTGTCAAGCAGAGTCAGGCAGGAGCAGGAAGCTCCATCCCAGCAAGGGCTGTCAAGTTTTTGGACAAGTGACTTTTTCCGCCGATTACCGCGACTCGAAACGGCAAATCGGGGACTATCGCCTGTGAGCAATGTTGAGGCGCTCACGAGCTGTCTGCGATGTGAGTACGGCGATTAACCCTGCGGAGCCGGGGGTGTGCATGAGGTCACAGCGGATAGCCTAGTGTACCAAACTCTGACAGACTTGTGCTTCATACAGCAGCCATGACTCAGAGGTGAAGAAAGCTTTGGCATAAAAGAAAAATATAAAACCAAGCTTTATCGATGCTCCTTCATCAAGGTTTATTAAGTAGCCATTGCACGTTGTCCTTCCCCCTGCACCTGCGATGAGCACAGTTGGCTAAGTAAGATGTGAAAGAAGTTCAACATATATACATACCTGGCAAGTCTGACTAAATGGCCGTGCCAAGCAGGCTGATGAATTAATGAAACATAGATCTATATCGTTAAATATGACCGGAGTAAATGTGATTTTGATAACCTTCAGTGATATAAGCATTAATTCGGTTTCATTTTAGTTGAAAGTGACTGGATTCTCAATAACACACTTAAGGATTGTATTCAAATCAATAATAATACATTTACTTAAGCACAAGTCAGCTCGGCAAGATTACACTGGTCTACAGCCAAAATGCTTCCCACTACATCACTCCGACAGTCATTGGAGCTTGGGAGAAAAAGTGTTCAGCATCCACCACTTGTTGAATCAAGGAATATTTTGTTACTACCCTTACACATCAAGCTGGGTCTGATGAAGAACTTTGTCAAAGCTATGAACAAAACACAAGCAGCTTTCAAATACCACCGTGGAAAATTTCCAAGGTTAAGTGAAGCTAAGATAAAGGAAGGTGTCTTTGTTGGTCCTCAGATTTGTGAACTTCTTCGAGATGATGCATTTGACAGTGCACTGCGTGGCAAGGAAAAGACGGCATGGAAAGCCTTCCAGTTAGTGGCAACACATTTTCTTGGACACAACAAGGCAGACAACTACAGGGAGTTGGTGGAAAACCTCAAGGCATACAAAAGCCATTGTTGCAACATGTCACTAAATATACATTTTTTGCACTCTCTTCTACATTTTTCCCCCACCGAACTGCGAAGGAGTGAGCAACGAGCATGGCGAGTGACTTCACCAGGACATTGCAACAATGGAGAAACGCTATCAGTGCAAATGGAGCCCATGAATACTTGCAAACTATTGCTGGACAGTGACAAGAGATGCTCCATTGAATGAATACAAGAGACAAGCCAAGAAGCGCCGAGTAGATACTGAATGAGGACTAAACTATTTACTTATATATACATAATAGTTTTTGTCTTTTTGTTTCATCATACATTTTTATTTATATAACCCTTTTGCTGACTTTTAAAGTGTTACATGAATAGGACAGGTGACATGTTATCATGTAAAGCAACCATGAACACAGTGAAAAGACCTACTGTAAATTTCGATTTAAAGCTTTCGTGACTGCAGGGATTCATCTTCTTGGTTCTTTCAGTAAAGTCACGTAGAAGGGAAGTAATAAAATAATAAAAATAAAATATAATAAAATAATTCTCACGACGTTTCAGCTACAACGCAAGCAGCCGTCTTCAGGTGAAGAATGAGACACTGCCAAGCTTGGAGCGTATATATAAGCTGGGTTGGAGGTGGAAGAAGAGCGCCTTGACAAAATATTTGCATATCAATAGGAATTTAGCATATTTATGGGAAATGCGTAGGAGGTGGTTGGGGGGGTTTCAAAGTCATATTATGCCCATGCATTATGCAGGATTAGCAGCATCAAAGGGAGGGGGTAGGGGGTAGCATTAACAATAGGAGAGAATGTTAATAGTATGTAGAAGCAATGAAACATGTCAATGGGAGAGCGGTGGACGGAGACCCACAGCGGAGCAAATAATGCATTCCCTGTGGAGAACACAAAATACACAGTCAATGCAAGTGAGTGGACGGTGGTCTGAAAGTCACCGTAAACGTGAACAACAATCAGTTAAGATCCGAAATGGTTTATTACGTCCTTCCAATGATTGCTGAGCCAGAATCCATATTCTCGATTGAAATTGTCTCTGTGTTTGTATATGTGGATCGCCTCATGAACGAATCTCTCATGGTAGCCAGATGGCTTGCAGAGAACCTCTGTCTTGGAGAAGTCAATGGCATGTGAGCCCACTGAATTGTAACAGTGATCTGCCACGGCTGAGGTGTCAGTTTTGATGTGGTTTCCTTATTCACCAAAGTTCCTGTACCTGACACCATCGCAATCATTGAAGACTTGGTTCATCAAGGACTGAATACTGGGGTACCCCCCCCTGGTGAGACACTGCTTAACCAATACATACTTCACCTGGAATGGAACTTTCTACAAACAAACTGAGGGCACCCCAATGGGCTCCCCCCTATCTCCGGTTGTAGGCAACGTTTTCATGGAGAAATTTGAGACTGACGCCATCCAGACTGCCACTCTACGCGCGACCTTATGGAAGAGGTACGTAGATGACACTTTTGTCATCTGGCCACATGGCCGGCCTGCTCTAGACCAATTCCTCGACCACATCAATTCCATACACCCAGCCATCAGATTCACCATGGAAGTCGAAAAAGATGGCAAGCTACCCTTTTTGGATGTCCTAATTAAAAGGAGACCTGATGGTTCAATGAGCCATTTTGTCTACAGGAAAGCCACCCATACGGAAGCTTACCTAAAACCGGATTCCCACCACCATCCATCCCAGAAGAACTCCCTCATCAAGACTCTATACCATAGAGCCCAATGCATCTCCGACCAGGAACACATTGCCAGTGAACTCAAACACGTACGCCAAGCTATTAAGGCTAATGGTTACTCCGACTACACAATCCGTAAAGCCATCACTCCAACCATCAAGAAGGATCCTGTTGAGGAGCCTTTCAAAACCATCACCTTACCCTACATTGCTGGGGTCACAAAAAAGATCTCCAAAATCCTGATTAAACACAAGATCCAGGTCCGATTCAACACAGTACATAAAATCCGTGATCTGGTCCCGTCTGTAAAAGATGTGGTTCCAGACATACAGTACCCTGGCGTCTACAAACTAAGTTGCCTCTGTGGTAGCAGTTACATTGGAGAAACCAAACGACATGTCTCGGACCACATCCGTGAACATAAAGCAGACCTGAAACACGGTAGGACAAACACCTCAACCGTGGCAGATCACTGTTACAATTCAGTGGGCTCACATGACATTGACTTCTCCAAGACAGAGGTTCTCTGCAAGCCATCTAGCTACCATGAGAGATTCGTTCATGAGGCGATCCACATATACAAACACAGAGACAATTTCAATCGAGAATATGGATTCTGGCTCAGCAATCATTGGAAGGACGTAATAAACCATTTCGGATCTTAACTGATTGTTGTTCACGTTTACGGTGACTTTCAGACCACCGTCCACTCACTTGCATTGACTGTGTATTTTGTGTTCTCCACAGGGAATGCATTATTTGCTCCGCTGTGGGTCTCCGTCCACCGCTCTCCCATTGACATGTTTCATTGCTTCTACATACTATTAACATTCCCTCCCTTTGTTAATGCTACCCCTACCCCCTCCCTTTGATGCTGCTAATCCTGCATAATGCATGGGCATAATATGACTTTGAACCCCCCCCACCCACCTCCTACGCATTTCCCATAAATATGCTAAATTCCTCTTGATATGCAAATTATTTTGTCAATGCGCTCTTCTTCCACCTCCAACCCAGCTTATATATAGGCTCCAAGCTTGGCAGTGTTTCATTCTTCACCTGAAGACGGCTTCTTGCGTTGTAGCCGAAACGTCGTGAGAATTATTTTATTATGTTTTATTTTGATTATTTTATTATTTCCCTTCTACGTGACTTTACCGAAAGAACCACGAAGAAGACCGACTGTAGGTTTACAATTTATGTGTAAAACTCTACTATCTACACGATATACATAGACGTAAAATGTAAAAACTTAAATATCTTCGGAACAGTAGTCAATCAGTTGTTTTAATTGTCATATTTGAATTCAGCACATCAAAATCAGTAATAAACAGCACATTAATCTCTGAAGCGGACGACGTCTAACAAATTGTAGACCAGTATTATTTCTATACTGATCATAGCACAATTACAATTTTGATTTGCGAAATGTGTGTTAGAATTTATGTGTATTATTATTCACTTAGATATATATTAAACAGATATAGGGTGAATATTGCAATAATATGTAGACATATGAGGATATATGTCAAATGTAGGAAATAAAACATAGTACAGTTATTTTTAAGGAATTACGTTCTCGGTATTAATATCATCATCGTGATCATCATCATCACCAACAGCCAAGGGTCAATCCACTGTGGAAGGAAGTCCAACTCCACACGGTCACTTTTGCTCATGATCTGTACCTCTCAATCATCCCCCCCGCCTGCCCCCTTCCACCGATGTGTTTCATCTGAGCCAACTTACTTTTCTGAACGATTCATACGATGTCTGAAACGTGCATTTGGCTTCTACTCCACAGGGTTCTCTTTCTCCTGCTTCTCAGTGGGAATATAATCTTTCATCTCGTCATGCAATTCATTTGTCTGTTTATGAGGTTTTGCTCCGTTTATGTCAGCTGATCCACTACAAAGCAATCAGCAATATGCACTTAAGGAAACATTCCCTCTCGAAATAAACCAGTGGATAGCTTTTTCTTTTCAAATTCAACTTTCCAAAACACTCCACCACACTCTTGCTTGCCTATTTTCTACAATTTTGTTTCAAGTCCACCTTCAATAAGTCCATAAGATAGATATCGACATCCACAGGCGTGTTCGCCAGGTTGTGACCTTCCAGCAAAACACTGAACGTAACTTTTGCTTTGCTCTTATTTACCTCAAAGCCCCCACGAATTTTAAACTACGCGTTATCAGTTTACCGTGGTGATAATTTCACATCTTGATGGCTATGGGTGGGGGTGGCTACGGGTGGGGGTGGCTAGGGAAGGGGGCACGCAGTGCGGTGAGGGCTATCTGAGTGGAGGCTGTGGCTGGGGGAGGGGGGGCTGGAGGTCGTCATACGAGAGGGGGGGGGCACCCAGGTGTGGGGTGATTGGGGGGGTGCCTTCGCTCAATGACGGGCACCTCTCCGAGTCGAAATTAAAGAGAAAAATAACCGAATGGAAAACAGTGCAAAAACAACCACATTGCAGAAGAAATAAAAAAAGACGGTGCACTAACATAATTAAACATGACATTTAATTAATTTCCTGTAACCAATTGCTTAAAAAAAAAACATTTAGAGAAGAATGAATAAAAAAAATCACCATTAGTTTTGACTGAATATGGCTCAGTGCTACTTTACTCTGAGCTGCAGACATGGACCGATCATTCCATTTTCGTTTGTGATTGTGGTCGTGTTACCAAAGGTCGAGTCAGCCTCAAATGAGTACCTCGTGCGGAGTGTAAACATCACCACTGTGGAAACAAAGGCGGCTAGGCGTGGTGCTGGCCACCCACCCCCTCGTGTACCGTGCCAGCCTTCATATGTGCTCGCTCACAGCACTTGCCCCAACAGTCTGTTAACTTATGCAGAGGGGTCTTTGTCTTTGTTACCTGATTGACACGTGAGGTCGATGTCTTTTTCAAACTCCGTCTGTAACACAAACATGAAGTTAAAATCATGGAACCTTCCTTGCCCGTATCAAAATATGAGATTAAGTTGTACCCTTTCTGGCAATAGAACCTCATGTAAGAATAGGTTAAAATATTAAAAGTTAATGTTACCTCCTTTAACAATATTATTAAAAAAACTCAAACGAATATTTATAGTCATTCCTAATATAAGCATTCAAGTGATGACATGTAATTTACCGAAAGACCCAGAGTATGTAAATTACATTAAAGCCTAACTACAAAGAATTAAGGTGAATACCGATTACGATGAATGCAATTACATTTTTTAAAAGGTCTACCATTTTAAATAGCACAACTTCATAAGCAACATATATATAATATCACATGTATGAAATAAAAACCTTCGCCACCTTCATTATGAACGACGTGTTAGAAATCTAAACATTCGGTCGCTGTTAATTTAGACATCGTTCAACAACATGCCATCTTTTCCCTGATTGAAGTCTAACCCACTCCACCAGCTTGTTTCCGTAGGTCTCGACAAGGCGCGCATTCCTGTTCGAAAATCTGATTATGTTCTATAAGGCTCTTCCAACCTCAGCCGTCACAAACATTATGTTACCTTCAAACGATTTCACTACCTTTGGTGGCATTTACCTTTAACCCATTTTCCTTCACATCTCGTAATGCTGTGGGGTGTAAGATCCCTTCCCTCTATAATCTAAAATATGGCTCTAACATAATAAATAATTTTTTACTTTAAAAAGCTGGAAAGCCACAGGTGTAGTGATACTCTCTGAGACACAGGCAGCTTCCCCAGGAGACAGGTTAGGAGTGGGGAAAGCTGCGATATTCAAAGAGACATTGGACCAAGGGCGATTCCCGCGGGCACTCCATCACCGGGCAGCTGAGAGTGAGGGACGGAGAGAGAGGGAGAAAGAGCTGCGAGGGAAATCCTCGCAGAGTTGCGAAGCGAGCCACATTGGGTGCTCCAGTGAGGCCATGTAAAAAACAATGTGATGCAAACCCATGTAGCTACAGCATGCACCTCAGATGTAATGTTTTCTGTACTACGACGCCATATATGTCGAAAATCCCAGTTGGCTATAATCTTAAGTGAGATTAATATTCTACGATAATAACACTGTGATTATAATCAGCGCTGCTGTACAAGTGACTAGGTGAAAACTCATTCAGAAAATGTTTTCGTTTCTTTCAGAGAGTGGTCTCCAGAAAGGGAAATCGCAGAGCTTCTTCTGAGAACTCAAATAAGCTTTTATTCACACTGGAGATGGTAGCAACTTTTCACCCACCCTGCTACAGAGAGAAGCGTTCATCACATTTCCACGTCAAACCAATAGTTTACTTCTCAGAGCTGGAGTTTAGCCAAAATGAGTGTAAAGCCCAATTTAACATTTATCTTGTGCAGTAGTTTATGACTGGGTCGGAGAGGTAATCAGCTTGACTACATCTGAGAACCTGGCTTAATGCGGGCAGCTGCTTGCGAATACTACAAATTTTCAGTTTATAATTTCACAAAAAAACTTTGGCTAAACTGTAACATTCACGATGTGCGGCAGACGTCACAATTGTGATTGTGACTAAGCATTGCCCATATAAGGGAGACTTTCACCACTGGTAGGCAATTATATCTCGATGGGCCAATACAGACTTTGTCGTGTCATTGCTCTTGGACACCGTAGCAGAGGAGAGGATCTGAACCCTTAATGTGCCTGTGATGTTACAACACTTCATGGCCATAGATTCCCTTGTTTTCCCAATGTGACGCATTCCATGCTACATATGACCCACCGCCAGTGCTAAGTTCTGCCGTTAATATATTAACTTGTACATAGAACTACAATGTAGAATGCTCACGTGGTTTTGTTTTTCACCGCACCGTATTACGTGATTCATGCATATGATTTGTGACAACCATTATCATTTGGTTAATCCTAGACTCCCTAACACCTATATTGCTTTGAGACCTGTCATTGGAGCTGCATATCGAATTCTAATTTATTACCTTACAATATATGTTAATACCTTGTCCCTTACCATAATTTGAGCTTGCCCATTGGGGAAGTAGCCGCAAGCTTCACTTGGATCAAGGCGACCCGTGATACGAAACTTAAATGCATTTTGAACCTGAAGGACAACAACATACACGAGTGTGTTTTGAGTAAAGAAAATTCACACGGGTAACAGTAAACAAGCAAATTAGGTGGGCAAACGCTATAGAGGTTCAGCCCTGAAATTGCCTGCTCACGTCACTGCTGGCAGAATGGCTTCCACGAGAGGACGCTCTCGAGAGCTCCTCTGGAGAGCTTTTGAGCGGTACTTCCATCAGTTTAACACGTAGTAAGCTTTCGCGACCAATATTATTCATAATCAACGTTTTTGGGTTTAGATCGCGTTATTTATAAATGTGTCGTAACCCTCCACCACCCGACACGGCCAATCAGTAAAAAAGTGTCACGTTGACAAAGGAGTGAACTATTTGTCCTTTGTCAACGGGACACTTTTTTACTGATTGGCCGTGTCGGGTGGTGGAGGGTTACGACACATTTATAAATAACGCGATCTAAACCCAAAAACGGTACTTCCATGCTGGCCAGATGTCTTTAAAGAGGTGGGAGTAGCGACCCTTTATCTCACCGCCTGCTGATTGACTGATTGGTGCACCCCATGTACACTGATGTTGGGTGGACAGGGGCGGGGGTGTGGATTTAATAAACATGCACCATTGTTTCAATCGCCACGCGTGGAGATCAAACTGGAGACCTCTGGATTGCAAGTCCAGCGTAACAACCCTGAAACAGTGACAGTAACCCCAAAAGCAAAGTATGCGTGTTTAACTAATTGTTGTAACGGGACTACGTGTTTTCGGGCAATATCGCTGCCACTTTGGTTTACTTATGCAGATTTGGCTGTATTCTGGGAAATGTCAAATTATGTATATAGATGTGAACTATATTCACTTTTAAATTTGTAATTCTATGCATGTTGAACTTGATAATTGGTGTTTTACCCTTCTATCTGGCAACAAAACTGACACCTTTTTACAAGGAGTCATGTTTTCATAGATCGCAATACCTGCAGTCATAATACAAACAAAAGAACATAACTCTGATAATGTGCACTGTCCTTGAAGTTGATTGGTCCACACCCGAGACAGCTTTCCTTAGAAACCAATTATCATATTTTTACTGGCAAATGAGGTTCCCATAGTGTAGATGCTTGCCCCGAGCTCTCATACTCTGATGGTGCATTGTCTTTGAGTTGTGCGCCTTTTGGCGTCATCTGGTTCAACCCATGTGAGACTAGGCTCTAAGGAAAGCTGTCTCGGGTGTGGACCAATCAACTTCAAGGACAGTGTACATTATCAGAGTTATGTTAAATTTTGATTCAAAGCTTTCGTGACTGCAGGGATTCATCTTCTTGGTTCTTTCGGTAAAGTCACGTCTACGTGACTTTACCGAAAGAACCAAGAAGAAAAAAAAAGATCAGAGTTATGTTCTTTTGTTTGTATTATTACTGCAGGTATTGCGGTCTATGTAAACATGACTCCTTGTAAAAAAGTGTCAGTTTTGTTGCCAGATAGAAGGGTAAAAAACCAATTATCATATTTTTACTGGCAAATGAGGTTCCCATAGTGTGCATGTTGAACGTCTTTCGCACCGTGCATAGCCCAAATGGCATCATGCTCTTATAACCCGTATTTTACAACACTCATTTAATTTAAAGAGTTACAAAAATATTCCATTAAATAAACTTGGGATGTAGAGTAAATTCGCATGTTAAAAAATATAGTTGCAATTGAGCCACATGGCAAGACTTACAAACAGCTGCTGCAGTGCAGAGAGCAGCAGCTGCAGTGACAAGTGACTGACAGAAATGGATTATTCAAATTAAGTTGAAGGAAGAGTGGTCAGGAATAAAGATTAAGATAGTCCTGTTCATAATAAGAGATCGAAGATGCTTTCATAAAGAGAATATTAAGTTGTTCATCACATTTAATAGATTCGGAAATAACGGACACTATTAGAACATGGGATAAGGACCAGTTCAGGATAGCTGTTAGCATCAGACTGGGCCACCAGGAAGCCACACATCTGCTGGTCATGAGGTTGGGCATTTGGTCAACCTGAAATATAATTTTCAATCAGCCAGCACATGATTTAAGCTGTGCCGAGTGTGTGGTGGCTCACTGGGAAAATGCCTGGTTGTTTGGTGGCAGATTACAACTCTGGAACAATATTTGTAGAAACATATTTCCTAAATGTACGTCAGCGTTTTTTTTTTAAATCTAAGATTAGGTGGTGAAGATACTCTGTGATGCAGCGGTAAAGTCAAGTGCTTAACACTATACTATTTATATTTTACCAGGTAAGGCCCACTGAGCTATAGGAACTGGCCACAAATTATAGCCCAACGAAATGGCTTATCTTGTGGAAATGCATAGCAGCCAAATGTTCTAAATGCATGTTGATCCTAAAAAACGGCGGACCCGGAGGAAAATACACACGAACACAGGGAGAACATGCAAACTCCAAAAATATTCAGGAGTCAGGGTTGGGATCGAACTGACAACCTCCTGTATACTAATGCGAGGTAGTTAAGCTTATGAAGTGGCCATGTGGCTCAGAGGTCAGAGCCCTGAGCTTGCACTACTGAGAGAGAGCCTGGGCTCTGTGCTTAACCTTGATTCTCAAGTGTGGTGAGTTGATGTCCTCAGCCCAGTCACTAATGACTACACACAAACACACACACAAACCATCACATTAAATTGGTTCTGTACTTAATTTGGCCAAAATTCCAGCTCTGAAAAAGAAATTGCTCTATATGGGAGGGTGGGTGAGAAAGTGATGCCCCCTACTGAGTTTCAATCCCAATATCTGTGAGAACAAAATCAACGTGCGAATATTATTCATGATAATGAAGAATACCATGACCAATCTGCCATGCGCACAGTATGGTATTATTCTGGCTGTCGCCTGATGAGGCTGTTTTGTTTACGTGACAAACCTTACTAATTGGCTGTGTCGAGTGGTGGTGGGTTTAACGACACATTTATACTTACGAGATATAACCCCCAAAAAAAACCTATATTACGGTATTATTCGTAACTATAACAGGATTTTTTTTCTAATAAGGGTTGCTGAACAGAGGCCCAAAACCCCAAAAGGCCAGCAACAAACATCCCTTCTGAAGGTGTAATAGGTACGCGTTAATCAGTGCCTTAAATCGAGCCAAGTTATTATTATGAGAACTTTGGAAACGAGACGATGGGAGGGGATTCCAGTGTGCAGCAGTGCGATGCTTACTTTGTCGTGGGCGACTGTGCAGAGTGTATCATCCATCACGGCTACAGCGGTAAAAATGAAATTCATTGTTATCAAACATTTCATTATCTTCAATCATTAGCTTCGTAATCACTCACCACATTCATCGTCTTCTATGCTAGTTTAGAAGAGTGAAATACACGGTGCGCACAGTTAACCGAGGGCAACTGAGGGCAAACAGGTGCGCGTGTACAACGTGAGTTTTGCACGGACAGATCGCCAGTTGTTAAGGGGCGAAGCAGGCGCAAACGGGGTCGACCGGTTGTGCACGTTGAGACTGGAGGTGTTGCCAGGGAGACGGGAGATAAGGGTTGATTGATGATTCGACAGGCACCTGCCTGGCGAGAGCTTAAAAAGACGCACGAGAGGTATCGGATAATTAGCAGAGGAATATAAGGGTGTGTGTGTGAGAGCAGAGGGAGTTGTTGCAAAGAGTTAAGACATCTCGCCGCTGCCGCTCCAGCCGTCAACGGAACCTCAACCCTCGTGCCGTCGCCGGGCGGGTGTTGGCTGATCCCCCCACCCGGGACAGACGGGTGAGCGGGTCTGAGGGAGCGTAGGTGAGGGCAGCGGTGGAGATGTAGAGTTTGTGTGTGCGGAGATGCCGTGTGCGGAGTCTCTGTGTGCGGAGATGCCGTGTGCGGAGACGCTGAGTGTGAAGACGCTGAGTGTGAAGACGCTGAGTGTGAAGACGCTGAGTGTGAAGACGCTGAGTGTGAAGACGCTGAGTGTGAAGACGCTGAGTGTGAAGACGCTGAGTGTGAAGACGCTGAGTGTGAAGACGCTGAGTGTGAAGACGCTGTGTGTAGAGTCGCTGTGTGCGGAGTCTCTGTGTGCGGAGACGCTGTGTGCGGAGACGCTGTGTGCGGAGACGCTGTGTGCGGAGATGCTGAGTGTGAAGACACTGTGTGCGGAGACGCTGTGTGCGAAGACGCTGTGTGCGGAGTCGCTGAGAGCAGAGCTGCCGAGTGCAGGATAAGTGAGGTGGAAGGTAGATAAGAGTGGGGAGAAGTGAAACATACGTGACCGTATAGATAGTTATAGAAGTGCCTACAACTGGTGCAAAAATAGGAGAATAAAGTGTAAGTAGGTGACTTGTTACAATGTGTCGGTGTGAGTAATTTTAAAAGACTCTACACTAGTACATCATCATCATGAGTCTCCATGAATGATTATTGATAATAGGATGAATGCAGCACCTCATGGTCTGTGTCCATACTGATATCTTAATGCTATAGACAATAGTGTGGGTTTTGAATCCGTCCAAGGCCCCCTTCCACACTCTGCCTTTAATTTGCAAATTCTCGGGAGGAAAAACGGGAAGGATCACGGGTCAACTCGACTCTGCTGATATTTGGTATTGTGGATAGAAGGGCCATGGTTCAAAGAGTTTCAATGTACGTGTGAAAGAAGGCTAATGGGTTTTAACTCACGAATCAATTTTGCCTCCACGTGTGAATTTAAGAACTGACAAAACATTCAAGGATAAAGTATTTTATTTATGCATAAATATGAAGCAAAATTTGTCAAAAATTTATTTGGTTTTCAAAATCTGGTTCCAATTGTCTTTATGATCTCAATTTACACCATGTCGTTTGAGGTTGTTCCATTATTAATACTGCAAACATTTACCTATTTAGGTAGGCAATCTAGAACATCATCTTCATCATCAGACAAATGATTGGTGTTTTTCAGCTGTAGATATCCAAGTATGATCCTGTACTAGTTAAATTAGTAGATCGCAAAGCCACAACACACGGGTCGGCGCGTGGCTCTACGATCTTCTATTAACATGCTAATCTC